GGCATACCAGTCTTGGACGCCCACGCGAATAGCTTGTCGTCGTTGCAACGAGGATCCATGGCGACAAATCCACCTCCGGGGATATCCAAAATGATTCTGCTGTGTTGCACAAGATCCGTCAATGGGCCATCAAAGTAGAGCCAAGCCGATACCGGCTCTTTGTAGTCGCTACCAGTAGGCCGGGGAATGCGGATTGCGCGCGGCGGCCAGCGGGAGAAGCGAGGCCGCATCAGACCTTGGAAGAACTTCAGGTACGGTGTCGTTCCTTTGTCCCACGATACGCGCAGATGCTCTACCGTCAACATGCCGCGCACCTTGCGAACCTTTTCGTCGGCTTTTTCAGCGGCAAACATGTAGAATACGGAGAAGACGAGGCTGGCCAGGTCGCGAAGCCACTTTGCGCGGATCTTCATGGCGGTCCAAAAGCCGGCATCCAGAGCGGTCAATATCCAGGTTGCGCGGAAGTAGGTGGCGTCGTACATATTGGACATGGGTTCGGGACTCGCGAGGCCGACAAGAGTGCTAAAGTGTCGGGCTGCGTACAGGTAGATCATGGTTACAACTACAGTCTGCCATGTCGTGAGGCGCTTCGTCGTGAGCTTGGAGAAGAAGCGGATGACGGGAGGGCCGTGGGGGTGTCCTCTGCGAAAGATCAAATCAGCTCCTATCGCGACAACACTGCACAGGATTCAAGACGTCGTGTGTTACCTAAAGATGTATGCCGACCAGAAAGCCAGCACCGCCAGGACCTGGAGGCGACGCGACTTGACCGACGGCCGTCCCAGAACGTGGTCTATCATGGCGACTGGTGTATGCTACGATGGACACCAGAGTAGTGAGCAGTGTGTGAAGGAAGGGGTTTGCAGATTCCGCCGCAGGGTCATGAGAATCTAGGCACCGAGGACAGCCGGAGGCGCGGCTGACCAAGCGAACAGCGCAATACCACGAGGTTGTGGCTGGGGGGACAATGGATGGCGTTGAAGTCGTCGACGGGACGGCGCAGCGCGAGTAATGCGATGGCTCCAGGGCTAAAAGGCCATGGCAATGCGTCGAGGCAGCTCGGGGAAGCGCTTGGCGAGCACGGCGAGCAAAAAGGTGCAGCGACAGACGGCTTGACACCACGGACCGCCACCCGATGATGGACTTGGTTCGAAATAGAAGGCCGGAGAGGTTCCGGTTGTTTTGGATCGTACACGTTTGGGGAATGGTTGTACACGAGACGGTAGGAGGAGCTAGAAGCCGAAGATGATGGGAAGTCGACGACTGCTTGGAATGAATGACGGTATGTATCGTAACGGATCTGACGGAGAAGAATGGTCGAGAGTCGAGAGTCGAGAGCTGTCAAAGAAGACTGCGATGGGAAGAGGAGCAGCGGCAGCAACGACAACGGCCGACGTTGCTCGTGAAAGAGGGTCCTTGACCAGGGTACCGGCGGCACATGTTTCAATGTGAAAGCGGTCGAGTGAGTGTACTGTGTGCCTCTCTGCGTGGGCTCGGTTCAATTGCTGGCTTCTGAGGTGAGATGGTGACGTTTGTTTGGGTTTGGGGGGGGAAGGGCAGCTGACATGTGAAGAGGCCTAAACCCACCTTTTGCGTGGGTGCTCGAGTCAACCCGCACGGGGTAGAACTGTTAAGGTGGAGGGTACGGAGTAACCTTGGAGGGGCACGCGGGCAACTGCGGCCTCCGCCGCTAGGCTATGTTGGGACCCACCCCGGATCCGACACCGAGGATGTCCAATCACGCAACGCCGGTTGGCTCTTCTAGCGTTGTTCCCTTGCCGGTTTCACTGCTGGCAGCCTGCTGAACCGCTGTCCAACTCCACTGAAGATTGCTGTCCTGCAGGGCTCTCTTCACCTTGGCCACCTGCAAGGTTACCTAAGCAAAAAGGTAGACCCGCCTGTCCCCGGATTTGGTAGAGTTTCTTCAGGAATGCATTCGACGTCCACATGTCGAGTCACGAGCTCACGGATTCCCGACGTAGTCCGGCATCGTGGAAAACGCCGGCACCCGATATGTCGAACTTCATCACCACCATTCCGCAGGTTCAGTACACGACACTCCGACCTGGAAGAATGGTTGACAACAAAGCCCCTAGGTAGCCTATGCAAATATGCGCTGCCTTGCGGTAGCACTGGTGGCCAGGACGCCATCTCAGTGCTTTCATGCTACGAGAAGAAACATCATTCGAGTAAGCTATACTAAAGTCTTTTTGAGGCATCAGCCTTATTGCCAGTCTTCAATTGCAATGTACTGTACATCGCCAGGTCACCCGCGATCACACCATCGTGTAATTGGTCAAGATTTCATGCATGAGATACTTACATCAGCAGGCACGCAGGTCACTAAAGTCGGCCCAGCTAAGGTACCCGACGTATCAGGCAACAGCACTAGAGGTACCCCTCACTCAGGCTGGTTGCTCTGAGAAAGTTGACAGAGACCTTCAAGCCCACCAACCATATCATTTTGACATGTTGTCAAGTCAATTGGACGCTGAACAATCAGATCGAGTTCCCTAGCAAAGGCATAGGAACTCGCGGGAAGGCGTATGCAACTATCATTCGCTATGCCATGGACCTATTCCAGTACGAACCCCTGAACCTCACGGGAAATTCCTTCAGGCTTCTCATGCTTCATCCTGGATCAACCGGCGAAATATCATGTGACATTTTCGAAGCAAGTCTAGATCCCGACGGTATTATACCCTACGAAGCCTTGTCATATGCCTGGGGCAACATTGAGCTATCGGCCTCCATCACCGCCAACGGCAAGACCCTCCGGATCACGAATAATTTGTTCACTGCTTTGAGTTATCTCCGAGATGACTCTATCGGGAGGGTCATGTGGATTGATGCTATCTGTATCGATCAGAACGATGTAGCCGAGCGAGGCCATCAGGTCGGACAGATGGCTGGTATCTATAAGGGCGCAGAACAGGTCCTTATATGGCTCGGCCCTTCTACGTCTGAGACGAAGCTTTTGCTGGAATATCTGAGAAAGCTTCAACAGGGACTGATTCGCCAGAAAAGTCATCATGACCTTACCTGGGCGGAAGAAAGGTGGTCGAAATTGCGACAAAGCTCAGACCTCGACCAGGTCGCCCTCGCCAGTCTGCAACGTAAAGGGCTCATTTCTCTTTTGAGTGAGACTTGGTTCACAAGAATATGGGTCTTACAGGAAGTGTCCAATGCACGTGCAGCTTCAGTCTGCTGCGGAAGATGGTCCATTCAGGCATATATGCTGGACATCGCTGCGAAGCTCATCGGCATCGTTCCGGACGATGGGTGCCAGGCTGTTATGGATCTGTTCCCAGGACCAATGACTCGGAGATCTCCGAGGAAGAACATCCTTCAGGATTTATTGGAAAAGTTCCGGAAAAGCGAAGCCAGTGACCCAAGGGACATGGTGTACGCCCTCCTTGGCATTGCTTCCGACGTCTCGGAAAGCGACCTAGGATCGTTGCTGTTACCCGACTACTCCAAGACAGAGCAACAGCTCATCCGAGACCTCAATTGGTATCTTTTCTTCGATTCTCCAGGCCAGGAGGTCGGGCATGATACAATGGCATCGTTTCTTGAGATGTTACCCCGGAAAACGGGGGCAATATTAAGAAACTTCGTACTTCATGGGCATACGGATCATGCCCATGCACTCCTTGAAAGAGGTCATCAATTCACTGTCAATGAGACCATTATCAACGAAATATTAGGTAGAGGCATATCAAGTGGTGTAAGTATTCTTCTCGATCTGGGATGCATTGAACACCCAAACCTGAAGTTTGTACCAGAGTCTGTACTAGAAAGCTCCTTGAGGTTCTGTGACTTGGCAACAGCGAAAAGGCTTCTGAGCAATCAAGAAGAAAACATACAGATCAACCGGGGGTTTGTTGATGGCTTGATCAACTGGAATGACCGCGAACTTTACGTGCTCCGGATTCTGAGCGACCGAGGACGTCACTCTCTGGAAGTCACGCAAGATGGGCTCGTATCGTTGTTGCCGTACTGCGACCCGATCCTTCTCAAAACGCTTCTTGAACAGCAGACAAAGGTTTATCGTCTAACACGCGGAGTTCTCAACTCAGCCTGTCAAAACCAGCAACTGGAGAGGATCATCGATTTGCTTCTACAGTGTATAGGTGGCAGAACGGAACTTGAGATGAGTGGGCTCTTATGGTTCATGGAGGATTACAGCTATGATGAGCAGAAAGTGGCGGTGCTGCTGAAGCACCATTTCAAGATTATCCACATCTTTGCTATTGGAGGAAGCCCCGACGAGAGTGTCATCTGGTCTTCGACCGTCACGTCTGATTCGGACTTGCAAGAAATCGAGATGGAAGTAGAAGATACCAGAGGGGATATGGAGTGCAGTGAGGCATTGGGAGTTCGGAAGTTTTCAATAAAGGCGCTTTTCGGCAGCGGAAGGCGGGCAGGAGCGATCTTGGATTGGTACAACTACGACTATTCCATAGAATAGGTAGCCATGATCGCCACTTTTCTTCGGACTACATATTTAATGGATTAAATTCCAGGAGGGCACACAGGCAAGCAACACAACAAAGAAGTCAAGTCGAGGTAGAGGCTGTTTAGGAGATAAAAGTCACCATCCGAAACGAGTGTATGATGGGGCAAAGTCATTCCAAGACACTGGCATCTCTCAAATCACAGAGGTCGAAGTAAATTGAGATCATAGAAAAAAAAATACGTAAAGAGAGGCAGGAGTTATCGTGAGGGTTGAAAGCCGATGAACTCTTCGGATCGAGGCTGGTAATTATATCATTGTATTTCTCCTGACGAATCACAACGGCAGTCCAACGCAACATGATATTCTGTCACAACAGTCCTTCGTGGCAATTGGCTAGATGTACCTGCAGGAAGCATGGCCATAATGCGGTGAAGTCTGCTGGCGAACCATCTTGCAAGGCAACTGAACACGTAGGCGACAATCATTCATCAACCAAACCCCCTCTGCCACGAAGAGAGCCCCGTGGTGGTAACTTGGGAATAAGCCTTGAACAACCCCACACTCCAACGATTTGCCAGACCGGGCTATCATCGACGCAAGCAAGTCTTTCAGCAAAACCCAAGATACGCATTTCTCGACATGAAAGCGTTTCAGTACGAGCCTTTGGATCTTGGACTGAGGTCATTCCGACTCCTCATACTCTATCCAGGAGGCAGCGATATCAGATGTGACATATTCCAAGCAAGCCTTGAGCCTGACGAAAACATCCCTTACGAAGCCCTCTCATATGCATGGGGTTGTACCGACCTCATTGAACCCATATCCGCCAATGGAAAGAGGCTGTTCGTCACAAGAAATCTCTTTCTAGCATTGAACCATCTCCGCACCGAGGAAGCGAGAATACTCTGGGTGGACGCACTATGCATTGATCAGAGCAATCTCGCCGAGCGCGGTCATCAAGTCGGGCACATGGCTGGCATTTACAGACAAGCAGAGCAGGTCCTTGTCTGGTTGGGACACTCGACGCAAGATACGATATTTCTGATGGACGCCTTGAGTAAGACGCGGCGAGGATCAAAGAGTTTGGAAGGTAACGCCTCATGCCCAGTTTCGCTATTGGACCCAGGCTTCATTGCGGGTAATCTCGATGGGCTCCGAAAGGGTTTGGAGCATCTCTTTGAACAGCCGTGGTTTACGAGAGTCTGGGTGCTGCAGGAAGTCTCTTACGCTCGAGTGGCTTTGATTTGCTGTGGGCACCACTCCATTCCAGCTTACATCTTCGTCGAGGCCACACGACTCGCCGGTATCAAGCTCCACGACCGCCAACAAGCCTTGCTGGATCTCATGCCGAGTCCGTCCAACAAGAGATCGGCGAGGAAAAAGTCTCTCTATACCCTTCTTGTACAATTCTGCACGATGCAGGCAACAGACCCACGCGATATGGTTTACGCCCTGCTTGGCATAGCAGCTGATACACAACAAGGTACAGCGGCAACGCTAATTTCAGCGGATTACTTGAAGAGCGAGGAGCAACTCATACACGATTTGAGAACTTACATTCTTGTTGGCGAGACTCAAGGTCGGCTAGCGCACTGCCCTGACATGCTCATATTCCTCAATTCATTGTCAGCCTTGACCGCTGACAGATTGGTCTATCTCGTGGCTGCCGATCGCATCGAAAATGCTAAATTGCTCTGTGATAGGCATGCGCTATTGAAACCTGAGGTTTCTCCCAACGCTCTCTTGCGTCTGACGCACGGCCGGAAGACTTCGAAAGTGAACCTGATTTTTCGGAAACTTCTTGTCTCAGAGGCTCCAAAACTCAGCTTCAACATGGATTGTCTAATTGCTATTCTTGCTTCATGCGATCTTCCCACAGCTGTGTTTCTTATCAAAATGCCTGGAAACGGCTTGTTGATAACCAAAAAGCTGGTAAGAGCAATGCGTGAAAGAAGAGATGTTCGAGCAATCCATTCTCTAGATTCAGGAATACCACTGGTGCGACAGAGATTCTTCGAAGAATTGACGCATTGGAGTATCCCAATCACGCAGGAAGCTTTTGTCGCAATATTGCGCTGGTTAGGACCAACACGAACCGTGGAGATTGCCAATCACCAATGCAATGCTTTCAAGGTCAATCAAATGTTAGTAGATATGGCCAGGATAAGTTTTCCTACCGAGCCAGTCCGCGATTGGTTCCAAGCTATGTTGGCAAGTGAGAAGATCAAGTTGGATTTTAACGTTGAATAATACTGTCGTGCATTTGGCTGTATGATCGGACCCTATTACTAAGGTAGCTAGATGAGGTATCTCTCACTAATGATTCTGTCAAGCTAGCTGTATGAGAAGATCTCTTCATTGCGTGTCGAGCGATGAATACTGCTCCATTACTATTTGAAATATATGCAGCGCAATCTACATGCTTGAGCACTATGCCTAGGTACCTGAGGTGGAGAGCCGATCCATGTACGGATCTGAGGCACCTTCTTTATTGAGGTCGAGACAGTGTTCAGAAAGCCTAAGATACGAATGCTGTGCCTAGGGAGGAAGATACACTGATGATTTAGTGCACAATTACAGTCACACAAGGCGGTCGAGTTCCCGGATTCGTCGCCTTTTCTCAGAAGCAAGCCCGCAAGACAGCCGTTTCAAGACCATCGGCGGTTCGTCCGAGCCTGACCGAGATCGGAGGGATATCCCCGGGCCCCAGCGCACGTAACACCGGGAAGAGTGGATCTGCCCCTCCAAACGCTGCAAAAAATGGGGAAATGCGCGCCTTATCGATAACAGGATTGACGAGTCACCTCTGTGCATGCATGCGCGAACGGCCCAAATTTTAATCGACGACTTCTCTTCAACACCGTTCTCTTTTGCCAGTCTTTTGCCGCAGAGCCCTGTTTATTGTTGAAGATACCATAATGGCGTTCCGTGCTCCTCTGCGACTCCAATTGGCAAAGTACCAGCCCCGTCTGGCCGCCGCCTCGCGCATCAACACCCGTGCGCTCTCTTCTGCGGCGGCCGCCGCCACAAACGACGTCAAGAGCAACTTCGGCGTAAGTGATCCCATGAATTCACGAACTGTTCGAGTGACTCACCACCAGACTGACACTCGCAACTGGTAGAAGCAATCTTCAGTTTCCAACCCCGATCCGACCGAAGACTCTCCGAGCGCCGCTCTCGTCCGCGAACATGCGCCGTACATGGTCGCCACATACGCTCGCCCGCCTCCCGTCTTCGTACAAGGCCAAGGTTCTCTCCTGTGGGACGTCGAGGGCAGGAAATACCTCGACTTCACCGCTGGTATCGCCGTCAATGCCTTGGGACACTGCGACCCTGAGCTGACCCAGATTCTGACCGAGCAGGTGGGTAACTCCGAGCCGCCGTGAGTCATTTCAAGACCAGATGCGCTGACAGTACATGGCCCAACCTTACAGGGTAGCACGCTCATGCATGCCTCGAACCTCTACTACAACCCCTGGACCGGCGCCCTCTCCAAGCTGCTGATCGAAAAGACCCGCGAGGCCGGTGCTATGCACGACGCCAACTCGGTGTTTGTCTGCAACTCGGGCTCCGAGGCCAACGAGGCCGCCATCAAGTTCGCCAGGAAGGCCGCCAAGGTTAGCCAGCCCTCGGGCGACAAGTACGAGGTTGTCTCCTTCAACAATGCCTTCCATGGCCGCACCATGGGCAGCTTGTCCGCCACCCACAACCCCAAGTACCAGGAGCCCTTTGCGCCCATGCTGCCCGGCTTCAAGCTCGGCGCCTTCAACGACATCGCCGCCATCAACGAGACCGTCAACGAGAAGACATGCGGTGTCATCGTCGAGCCCATCCAGGGTGAGGGCGGCGTCACGCCCGCGACGGACGAGTTTCTGATCGCCCTGGCCAAGCGCTGCCGCGAGGTCGGCGCCGTGCTCATCTACGATGAGATCCAGTGCGGTCTCTCCCGCACCGGCACCTTCTGGGCCCACACCCACCTCCCCAAGGAGGCCCACCCGGACATCATCACCACCGCCAAGGCCCTTGGCAACGGCTTCCCCATCGGCGCCACCATCGTCAACAGCAACGTCTCGGAGAAGATCAAGGTCGGCGACCACGGCACCACCTTTGGCGGCAACCCCCTCGCCTGCCGCCTGGCCCACAACATTGTGTCCCGTCTCGCCGACCCTGGTCTGCAAAAGGCCGTCGCGGCCAAGGCCGAGATCTTCAAGACCCGCTTCGATGCCCTTCGCGAGCGCTTCCCCGATCTGATCAAGGAGGTCCGCGGCCGCGGTCTCATCCTCGGTCTCCAGCTCACCCAGGATCCTACGCCAATCGTCAAGGCTGCCCGCGAGCGCGGTCTGCTCATTATTACTGCCGGCACCAACACTCTGCGTTTCGTGCCCCCATTGACCATCACCGAGGAGGAGATCCAGCAGGGCTTGGATATCGTTGAGGAGGCCATCTCCGTCACCCGCTCATGAGAGCATGATGGCTTGCTACTTCGCGACTTCATCTGATGAAAGGATGTTTCGATCCATGTAATTAATTTCGTTTGGCGCCGGCGTTTAAAACCTGACGACACTTAGACCTAGATTCCACACAACGTAAGCAGCGAAGCGTTGTCGTTCTGAGGAAGCAGTTGCTTTAAGGCTTACCGTGTTGAGAGACAGACTTGCCCGAAAGCTTGGATTTATTCAATGAAAATGAGTGAAACTTCAAACTAAAGTGTGCCACAGGAAGGGGCTTCTGTCCTCTTCGATCCCCTCTTCGCTCACCTCTTTGCTCCCCTCTTCGATCTCTATGCTGGTGATGGCATCGAATGCATCTCAAGACAAGCTTCCAAATCATGTTTCTAATACCCTGTCGGCGCCTTCCTCGATCAGAAAACCTACCATTGTTAACGGAGCGGAAGGTGCAAAGAGGCAACAGGCCCACTTTCCCTTGAGAGGTCTTCACGATCACCTTCTCACGGTCCAAAAACCTCTCAATCCTCGACACCGCTCCGTCTTTCTTCCTCCATAACAACCCACGACCCTGAGCACTCGATCTTAGCCTTCTCATTGCAGCGAACTTTCGATACTCGATCTCACACACCAACCCCAGATCGACAAAGCTTCTTCTAGATACTATCATCAAAACCACACCGGCATTATCTAGGATTTTCCCTTGCGATAATTAGATACTGCGTGGCGCCTTCCTAGGTTCTCTGCAATCAACCGTAAGACATAGCTACTCACTAAAGATACCTATTCCATCACACTAACGCATTTAAAAGATGGGGGAAGAACTCCGAAAGAATTCAAGGATGAGAAAGAGAGTCGATGGCTCCAAAAGCTGAGTGGAGAGATCAAAGATCGTCCTCTTCATGCTGTCATGTAGGACATGGCCCGTCGTCTTGTCAAAGCTCTTGTACGAAGTAACCCGGGGACTCTACAAAGTTACCCAAAATCTATCCGACAGCTCTACGATCCCAACGTCAGGCTTTTGGCCAACATGGAAGGCCCTGGCGAGATCTACAAAGGCGTTAACGAGATCCCCAATTACTATGCGGAGCACGGCGGTAAAGGGTTCATCTCAGTCATTATTGTTAACCGCCCTCAAATCACCTGGATCATGGACTTCCTATCCAACCCCTCTATGGTTGAGGGAGTAGTGGCTCGCTTTGCGCAGCAAAGAATCATTATCATGGACATGAACAGTGACTACAAGTTCACCCGAATCAAAGTGAGATGCACAACCCCTGAGGTCCACGCGAATGAGCAAGGCGACGTCCAGGTAAAGGTGGAAGATCCAGAGGAGTGAGTGTAGACCAAGCAACACAGCTTGAGGCTGTTGGCTCACTACACTTGACTCGCTTGTTGGTTGCTCAGAGGACTCGTGGGAGGTGAGATGAAGACATGGAAAGGCGGAGAGGCAAAGGATCCCGATGGCAGGGCCAAGAGGCAGCAAGAACTTGGACATCAGCAGGAATATGCACTGCGACTGGCACACCCATAGAGCTTAGGAAAACACGACTCCTTTCAGAGTCAGGGTTATCTTGGCCACATTTGCTCTGAAGATGAGAGCCATATAGATTATAGACCGTGCCTCAAAGTTTCGCACCTTCACTCAACATGGAATCCCATTATCGCAGCCCTCTACTGAAATGACAGACGTTTGCCTAAAGCGCCACATAGATTCTGGTCTAGTCTCAGAAGTCTTAGACATCCAGGGGCCGCCTTTCCATAGCCAATCACAGTTGATGACTACTTCCGTTATACTACCTTACCTCATTCCTGGGTGAATGGTAAGACCAGCGAAAGTTCCGTCTCGAACCTCGGAAGGTAGAGGTCAACCTTGAAAGATGGGTCTCGCCTAAATCCTCCTCCCGAGAGGCGGGGCCGATCTTGCCGGGTGTCCCTGCGTAGGTGCATCCCAGGTTTTGATGTCCCCTCCTTCCACCTCACCTTACAGCAGGTACGTAACTGCCAAAGCCGTTGGACTTCGGTGTGACGAAACTCTTCTCGGTGACTACTCTCGACTCCTCAGGAATTCTCCGTCTTCATCATGCTTTTTCAATCCAAGGTAACGACAATCGGCCGCGCCCGTTTACGCCTCGAAGCATCTGCCACGTCAAGACATCAAGAATCGTGGAGCGGGGCTTCCTAGATAACCTCCAACCTACTTGCTCGGAAGAGCCTAGTTGAAGTCCCACTCGATAACTATCGCGAACACTCATTACTCGGTCACGACTAATCACCTTGCCGAAATCGCCCCGTTGCGTGGGTAGTGTGCCACCATACTACCGATGGCGATGCCGTGTCGTTGGGTCATCTCACCGCATCTTCCCCGAGCCCAAGTCCGGATCTTCGTCCAGTGCCTCTCTTTTAGTCGAGGAAGAGTATGATAAGACCAGCGAAAGGAAAGTAGAGACGATCTTGGCAAAAGGGCCAGACGGTCAAACGGAAGGCCCTCGAAATCCGACGGTCCAGCTGTCTCCCAACGCCAGTCTTACCTAAACGCACGTCAGCGGTCACCCTCGCCCTTGGTATCGATGGCCACCTTTCCAGCCCTCCCTTCCCTTCCCTTAGGGAGGGACGATTCGCAACTTTGCTGGGGTCAAGACGACAAGAAACGGCGGAAAAACATGGGACCAGAACAAAGCGCTGTCAGAGACCTGCCATCTACTACAGCCAAGCTCAACGGATACTTCCACTTCAGTCTACCACAGCGAGTCTTCCATCCCGCCATTCGCCCTGTCCAGCCCCACCAAACCACACCAAACGTCAGTCGGTACATTCTGAAAAAGTTTGGGAGGCCATCGGTGTCCTCCCCATCCGCTGGTGGTGCGCACAGCCCACCCTGTTGTTTCGAAACTCGTCCCCTCCCTCCCCCATGGGCAACTAGAGATCGGACCCAGCTTCACTCTTGAATCAGACTGCAGCCAATCGCAACCGGCCCGCACTACGATAATCCGCGCCGTTATAGGATTTTTTCTGCCCCGTCAAGTCGTCAGCAGCGCTTTTCAGCCCGCCCAGGCTGCTGGACGGAAGTTTGGAACGCAAGGCACGCACACCAAGCTTTCAAGGGGTCCACCTGTTTGGCTCAGCTCAGCTTGGCGGACTACTCCTGGTCATCATCACCTGCCGCTGTACCAGCGTACCGGCCTACGATTTCTGAAGAATCAGCAAAGTCCGTCCCTGGCTCCCCCGTCTAGTGTCGGGATCAGGTCGATCCCACGTGAGGTCCCTGTCTCTGATCCGCCCTCTTTACCTGATTGGGATGAGGTTGCGGTACCTGAAGCCATTGTGCTGCAGGAACGTCCTACACGGAATAGGCGAGGGAAAGAAGCTTAATGTCGCCTCCGTCTCACCGGCCGGCTAGGCGATTCGAGTGAGGAAACAAGGAGCATCTCACACTACCTCCGCTATAAGAGTACAACGGTCGCCGGTCACTACCTCATCTCTTGTGACGACGACCAAGAACCTTGAATAGTTGTTGATCCAACTTTCAGCTAGCATCGGATAATCTATATACACTCCTTACTAATAACTTCCCGACTACAATAATCAGTCCTTACAATACCAGCACACAAAATGCACAGCTCAACAGCAGCCTTCCTTCTCGCCCTGCTGGGCACGGCGAGTTCCTCACCTGTCGCGATCCAGCCCCGCCAGGCCGACTTCTCAGGGAACCAGCAAGATGGTCTCGCCGCCGGGTGCCAGTCCATGATCGTCATCTTTGCCCGTGGCACCACCGAGGGAGGCAACGTTGGTACCATCGCCGGCCCGCCGTTCTTCCAATCCCTGGCTACTCAGGTCGGCGGCAGCCTCGCCGTGCAGGGTGTCGAGTATCCTGCCGATATCCCCGGCTTCCTGGCCGGAGGTGACGCCAACGGTTCCCAGATGATGGCCACTCTTACCGAGCAGGCCATCACCAACTGCACCAACTCAGCCGTCATCATGTCTGGATACTCCCAGGGTGGACAGCTCGTCCACAACGGCGCTGCTATGATGCAGCCCGACATGGTGGCAAAGGTTGCCGGTGCCGTTATCTTTGGTGACCCGCGTAAGTTATGCCCTGTCATGTCTCATTACCCCATACTAATCCATACTCCACAGTCAACGGACAAGCTGTCCAGGGCGTGGATGCCTCCAAGACAAAGGTCATCTGCCACAACGGCGACAACATCTGCGAGGGCGGCAACCAGATTCGCCGCGCTCACTTGACGTACGGCAACGACGCCGATGAGGCCGCCACCTTTGCCGCCTCGATGATGCCGGCTGCCGCGGCCCCTGCTGCGGCTTAAGAGGGACCCCGGGAGCCTTCTCAGAGTTGACCTCGGAGGCTTTTCTTTTCTTATCCACACTCTCTTTGTATATACACATCTTAAATACCTTTTTTGTGTGCACAAAAGCCCAAGCCAAACAGGTTGCACTCACTTATTTACTTACATAGTACCTATTATTTTGTGTGGAGATTTGTAATGTGGAGAGACGGAGAGAAGCGTATGTGCCTCGTCTCAGGAGCGAGGTGTTGGAGGGCTGTTGTGATTATCATTGGCATAGCTTAGCATTTGCGTAGCCATAGTAGTATACAATCTAGACCAATGTATCGTGTGATCTAGTCCTGCTTGATCAGGTGAAGGCGAGCGGGTACCGTCCTTGTCGTAAAATCAACGCCCGATGTTGCACGAAGGTGTCGGCTCCCGTGGCAGAGTGCCTGGGTGCTACCTGGCCTGTTTCAGCGCCACGCCAAATTAAGAGAGAGTCCTTATGCTGGGTGGCCTGATGAGCGAAAGCGAAGCCCTGCGCGAGGCTTGAGAAGACTTTTGTCGATGATACTGATGAGCGAGCCTCGAAATGGATACTGATGGGATCGTAGATTCTCATTCAGGTGTGGGAATCACCGCTGCGTATAAAGGTTATCTACCCCGTCGCCTTTTGGCAAAGTTACCTGTAGTTGGACGTACTAGGCCATCCGTATTGGATCATGGGCGACGTGTTGATGATTCGACTTTCTACTTCCAACTCATCGACTATGCCAGACCATGCGCGTACGGACTAATGCATGCGACTATTCTCCTGATCAAACAATTCGAAGAGGTGTATGAAGCCGGTTAGAATGATGACCAAGAGAAGATAGGGTTATCTTCATCATCCCTCCCGACATCGGTCTTGGCTTGGGCTGATGATGGGACAGTCAAGGGCGGCACGTTGCAGTACCCACCGAACAGGAAACGAGAACCTCATATCCGACTTGATTTTCGCATTCAAGTCCAACATTTCCTCCTCTCCATCATTAAACGCCTACAACCTGGATTCCCCCATCCTACTCACCTCCGAACCCTAACAACAACAACACATTCCCACCCCATCCCCCCAACACCCTCCATCCTCTCCTCCTCCCAAACCTCAACATCCTCCGCGTATGGCTCCAACGCACCCCGGAAATCATCCCAATCCATTCGTGGACCGACATACACCACCTTCTCCACGGCCCCTCTCACGCTAGAAGCAGCAAACGCCTCCATATACTTCCTCACAAGAGCTACTTGCTTCGGATACACAAACATCCACGCCTTTGCATCCATCGCAGCCGGGTCGAGGGCCCATGTGCCCGGGACGATGCGGTGGTTGGCGTGGTATTTATTTGGGCTTGGTGCGATTTCGATGCTGGTTAGGTTGAGCGGCCGATGCATATCCTGAGAACCCTGGAGAGCACCAAAAGCCTGGGGATCTTGGTCCTGGAACTCGGCGAGAGAGTCTAGCAGAGCTTCGACAAGCCCTGTCCCACTACCAATCGAGAGCGTAAGGTCCGGCGCCGACGGGAGTTGGGCGTGCAGGGCTTTTGTGAGAGGGAGAGAGAGGGTTAGGCAGGAATCTAGGTGGCGTTGGGGCTGGTTTGTGAGGATTGGGAGGGGCGCGGGTGTGAAGTTTGACGAAGGCTCTTCATCTTCGAGGAGGTCTTCATAGTCGGGATCCTCGGGGTTGGCCAGCACAACATCGTTGGCTTCATATCGGGTGGTGGCCATTTCAAGTTATTGACGGTGCGGGTGAAGTACACGGAGGTAAGCCGGAGCATATCGACCCGGGCCAGCAAGCTTCGATTCGATGCACCCGTGCTGCACGTCAGTTGAACCGGCCCCACCGAACCACGGATCCACCAAACCTTCCCTTAATGTTTAGTCCCGGCCTTCCTTCCGGAGCTGATGGGATATAATTATCACGTCCAACCTCACGCTTAAATAAAGCGCAGATCCGTGCCGCTGTAGTATTAATGCATTGAACCATACGATTTTCCCTTACAAAGCCGGATCTCGTCAAGGTTCTTGTCAGCTAGGAAAACCACTCCCTCCAATTATGCAAGGGAAAAAAAAGAGTTCGCTACCGGTGTGGCTACATCTCTGGTGCTCATGCTGGGATTCGAACTCGGGCACTGGCTAAGCCTGTCGTCGAGTAGGCTGGTTGGCGTGGCTTGTTGACCTTGGACCACTCCACCACCCAGCCAGTTTGATCTGATCCATCGACCTAGACGGACGCCTGCTGGCTGGTGACAGGAATGAACTTGAGGGGGTATATATACCCTCAGACCCGTTGTGTATTCATAAGTGGGGATTCCACTGGTCCGTTCCCATCGGCGACAAGGTACTCTACATCAACGCCCGAGACCAACGTCCGTTTCAATCAAATGTGTATTTCTTGAGAACAAACAAGTTAATGCGACAAAGCTCCGGAGGACCAGACACGGGTCCCAACTCCCAGTCGCGACTTAGACTCGCCAGAATGATGCAAACTCAGAACCGTAGCCACTAATCCAGTTTACAGCTATAAAATGTACACTTCCTTTCCGTCTTTTCCCGTCATCTCTCTGAGTGGATGCTGTGGATGAGAATCATCATCTCAGTCTTGCTCCTAGACGGCACTGTATCCGCCTCGGCCACCGCTAGTGTTCACGGTGTTGAGCACGTTCCTAGTCCAGTCCTTCACCAAGTAGGGGATATCGCGAATGGTGTCTCCGTGCGGCAAAAGATCCCAGCCCCTAGCGCCGTATCGGTTGTAGTTCAGCCACGAGCCGAAGATGAGGTATGCGGCGATACCGAGGAAGGCCCTGCAGAAGAGGCAATGATTAGCCAGCGCGTCCAAAGGAAACAGCACGTAGATCCATCAAACTTACAAGACAAAGAGCCAGGTGAAGAAGCCCCAGTGGCTGCTCGTGTCACCACCACCACTGCCACCCTCCGCAGGCGGCTTACCGTACGCGTCCTCGCACGCGTACTTGGTATGCCACGTCAACCTCAACACATCCATGTCGTTCTTCTCGCTGGGACCGTAGCTGTTCCAGATCAAGGCCGTCCTGTTCATCACAATCTGCTTCTCGTCGGGCGAAGGCCCGTCGTCTTCCCCCTCCTTGCCCTCCTCGCGCGCCCGGAATTGGCTGCCGTCGTACTGGTCCTCGGGCTTGACCTCGCCCTCGAGACCCGTCCTGTCGCGATCGCAGAGGAACTCGATAATGGCCTTTTGGTTCCTGCCGTTCTTACCCAGCGGGTACGAACCTCCGTTGAGGATCAGGCGGACGCCCTCCTTCTTCGCGTCCGAGTTGGAGTCGCTCGACTTGAGGCGTTCTGCTGTGGCGTCTAGCTTGCTTCCGCCGTGGTCGCCCAGCTCGCCGGCAATGGGTATCACTTTCTCGACTTCGTCCTTCTTGTCGTCGCCTGGATGGATGTTGCGTTCAATGGCACATACTGTTCAGACACGTCAGCTATATACTGTTCGAGCTTGATACCTCTCAATCATTCCACTACTTCGCGTGAAACATACCTCTTGTAAAGCTGGGGCATTGCTCCTCCTTCTTGACGTCTCCTTTGCGCTTAAGGGGTGCACAGATATCAACGGTATAAGATGTGTTGGTGAACGTGGGAGGATGCCACTGGCTGGTCACGACGCTGTGCGGTCCGCCTAGCGCCTCGAGATTGAATGAGACGTCGTCGACTCGGATGTGTTTGCAATCGAGCATCGCTGCCGCAGGCAAAGGTGCCAGCAGCAGTGCCAGCAGAAAGGCTCCTTCGGCCCGCGGTAGTCGAGGGAAATGCATCGCGGGAGAGCAGGCCAAGCGTTTCTCTCGGGGATGGAAACGGGGGGCCGTCTGAGCTTCGATTGGGGGTTTCGGGGGAGGCGGATCTGCTGGGGGCTATCCGCACACAGATCAAGATCGGAAAAGCTTAGCAAGCAGAGCTCCTGCAAGATTGCGTAAAGTATTGAGAGAGAAAAGGGGGAACAGGTAGAAAGAAGAAGTTTCAGTAACGTAATGAGTGTGGTTCTGGACGCTGGGCAGGCAACAGAAAACGGGCAGGTCACGGCGTGTCGTTCATGTGGCTTAGGAGGCCGAAGCAAGTGGACTGTGGCAGCGGGTAGATGACCTCGTTTTGGCTGCTGCTGGGAGAATGGGACCTGACCGTTTTGGCCAGGCGGCATTTAGCTCGTTGCATCATCGTCATGCCGAAGATCTAGCGAATCACGTGCAGCACCATGTACCTAAACGCGTGGGTCGCTGGGGAAGTGGACAACGAGCACGGATCTGGCCGCACTGTCATCGGCCAAGCTGACATAAGCATCAGATCCCCAATCTCACCTTGCCTGACCTTGACACACCTTGGCACACCTCGGCTATACCTCAACTCACCTTACTCTTGTGAGATCCATCGGATCTCAGGTATCAGTCCATGCATACCCTCACTCAGCTTCGTCAAGTAGAACAACTTGGCGGTCCGAACATTACTCATCACCAGGGCACTGCAGCATGATAAACTGGTTTGATATTCTGTACATCAAATGATACATGAGCTCGCTTCCGCAGAGCCTTGATCTGCTCTGGTGGTATACACCATTCCGTTCCCTCCTCCATGACCCATGAAAAGCAATTGCCGTCCATCCCTAACCGCACCTCGAAGGATAAGGTAAGTACGCCTTCGTAGGGGTATATAAGACCATGAGAGATCAAACAGCCAATCCGTCCCTGAAGTCCCCAGACGCCAAAGTACCATAAAAGACGCTCACATCCCGTTCCGTCCAAACCGTAGTCTCCTAATCGTTTCTTCCACCCCCTCAACTTGCCCACAATGTCATTGTTGACCCGTAAGGTGATCTCTGACGGCGTGTTCCGCAAGAATCTGACTCGAGCGGCAACGGCGATTCCCATTCACATGCTGATGCAATTGGTGACGGCATGCATGGCGTATGTTCAAACGCCGTATGAGAGTCGCTGGTCCCAGTATCAGGGCCAGTATCGGGGCCGGTACCGGGCCAGTCCTACATGCCGTGAGGTCCCATCATACCGCCCATACCCTGCATCTGTTGTTGTTGCTGCTGCTGCTGTTGCTGCTGCTGCATCATGACCTGATGCGCCCTACGCTGGGCAAGGACACTCTGAATCTGATTTTTGGCCTCCATCATACAGTTTCTCTTAAAGGCCTCCATCTGCTCTGGCGGGATGTTCTCAACGGCACCGCCCCACTTGGCAGCAAGATTGGCGATCGACTTGTTGTAGATCGCTTGCCCTTGCAGCTTAACTTGGTTCGTCAATGCGTTGTTATTGTTCATTGCTTGCTGCTGCTGCATCTGCATCATGGCCTGCATGTTCATGTTCTGGCCATTCATCATGTTCTGGCCGCCGCCGGCCATCTGGCGCTGCATCGGGTTGCCCATTTGCGCTTGGATTTGCGCTTGAATTTGTGCTTGCATTTGCGGCGTCATTTGGCCGCCGTTCATCTGGTTGGCGCCCATCTGGCTAAGCTGCTGAGCGTATCTCTGCGCCAGCTGCTGGTTCATCATGTTGCTCATGTTGCCACCCATATTGCCGCGCTGTTGTTGCTGCTGTTGTTGCTGCATCATGAGTCTGTGTTGCATCTGTTGCTGCATGTACTGTTGTTGTTGCGGCGTCATTTGCTGGGGGTTCATGTTGCCGTTCATCATGTTGCCCATGCCATTTTGCATCGCGGCAGCCATTTGCTGTTGCTGAATGGCGCGTTGTTGTTGGGCAACCTGTGCGGCAATCATATTAGGGTTATGCCCGGTTTGTGGCATGGCACCCGGAGTACCCATCATGACGTGCTGGCCCATTTGAGAGTTGGACTGCATCATATTGGGAGGCGGGCTTGCCTGGTTCATACGAGGCGTTGCAGCAACTGCTGGGCGAGGCACGGGCGTTCCCTGCATGTTTGGCGTACCGTGCTGTATGCGCGGGGTGGCGGCCTGGTGACTCTGCTGGCTGGCGCGAGCAGACATGCTGTGCGCCATCGGGACTCCACCAACGTTGGGAGGATGGCCTTGAACGACCGATGGTGGGCGTGGCGGACTGTTGGCCATTTGAGAATTGTTTTGCTGCATAGGCACAGCGCCAGGCATGGGAGATGACATGCTGTGGGGTGTGCCTTGTCTGACGACGGGAGACACAGGCGGCTGTGATGCCTGAGAGAAGCGTGCCTGGGTTTGAGCCGGAACGCCATTTGGCATCGCACCAGATGTGCCGTTTGGCAAAGCAACGTTCGCCTGCTGCTGCTGCTGCTGCTGCTGCTGTTGCTGTTGCTGTTGCTGCTGTTGCTGCTGTTGTTGCTGCTGCTGTGCCAGGGTTGCCGCAGCGTTTTGGTTATTTTGGGCGGCTTGGTTCGCAGCTGCCTGAGCAGCCATAGCCCGTCTCTGGGCCTCTCTCTGCTGTTGTTCTTGGCGAGCTTTGAGTTCCTGAGCCATTTGATGTTCGCGCCGCATCTTCTCTTGCTCGGCCTGGCGCTGTGCCGCAATGACTGCTTGCTGCTCTTGCATCTGCTTTTGCTTCTCTTGTGCAAGCTGGCGTTCCTTCGCAGCCGCCTCGACTTTCTCTTGCTCCTTTCTCTCCTCGTGCTCTCTTTTAATGTCAGCGATGACCTTGAAACGCTCGAACCTTGGCTCGAATGTGGACACA